TATTTGTTTTCTGTGTTGGCCAAAAATGCTTTTCCCAAGAGTCAGTCTTTTTTCTCATTAATGAGGTTTTATTTTATTTGTTGTCTGCTCCACACATGGTTCAGAGATCAGGAAAAAAATTGCATGGGACTGAAATAGGTAGGTACATGCATCAGTAATGGACTGTAGTTCATATAAAAATGGCCAAGTATGGGGGCTGCCTGGTTTGCAGAGAAGTAGCTAATTTGGTCCCAGATGGTCACCTGTAGGTAGCAACAACACCCAGTGGGTGAGTGGGACTGTGCTTGCATGAGGTTTTCATGCATAGCACAGAACCGAACGAGATGCTGTCTTCTAGGTGTTTAAAGTGTTTGGCTTGTCTTTCTCCAAGCTTGACTCATTCTGATTACCAGCCATACAGATCTTATGGAAAGCTGTTGGCACCTGTGTTCTGCATTGCTGTTTTGAAGTCAGTTCTTGAAGGCATTTGTTTGCCTTGGAGAGAGTAGCCATGGGAACTTGGTGTACAGGAAGGTGTAGGTTTTGCTTCATAGGTGCAAAAAGTGCTTCTGTACTTTACCAGCCGCTTTTGGCTCCTGCACAGAGGTGAACAGCACCAGGCCTGCACAGTCCTTAAAAGCAGACTGGAGAGGAAGTACTTTGTTATATATGAAAAATAAAAGGAGCCCTTTTCCCGTAATAAGAACCAAACCATCTTTGGCCAGCTCTGACTTCATGGCATCATCTTTGCTATCCTCCTTACCCACATCCTTTCCTTCCCGTGCTTCAAAAACAGGTTATGACCTGCAGGCCATGAGCAGCCAAGTGCAGTGTGCATTGCAGAAGCAGTATCGTGTCAGCTACTCCACAGTAATGTCTGGGGAAGACTCATCCCTGTGAAGGACGTGCAAATAGAAATCTGAATTGGACAGTTAAAACAGATCAACTGACATGCAACAGCTCAATGAGGAAATAAGTAAGTTATTCCCCATTCCACATCAAATTGATTTGTCCAAGCCCACAGGGACTCCAGTGGTGCAGGGGCTATATGTGTTGTAAGGCTAGTCCTGGTGCTTACCCTGGCACAAACATTGGAGGTCTCTGCTGACTGTAAGCTAGCCAACATTATTCCAATTTACAAGAAAGGTGTGAAAACTCAGGAAACTATGGATGTGTTCGTCTAACCTCAGTACCTGGAATAATTATGGAGAAGATCATACCAGGTGCTACTGAAAGGCATTTAAAGAGGCAGTCAGCAGGCACAGTCAACATGGGTTCACAAAGGGAGAGTCCTGTCTAACTAATTTGATATCCTATGATAAAGTCACCCTAGAGGGCAAAGGAAAGGCAGGGGATGTAGTTTTTCTGGATTTTACCAAGGCTTTTGGTACTGTGAGATGAGCAGGTTCACAGTGTGATGAGCAGGTTCACAGTGTGATAGGCGAAGGGCACAGCTCAGAGGTTTGTTGTAAATGGGGCTACGTCTGCCTAGCGACTGGTCACCAGCAGTGTTCCTCAGGGTTCAATTCCAGGGCCAGTTCAATATGTTTATCAATGATCAAGGTGCAGTTGAATCTAACATTAGCAAGTTTGCTGGTGAAATCAAACTGGGAGCTGCTGTTGACTCTCTTGAGGGACAAGAGGCCTTGAAGAGCGATCTGGATAGACTGGAGCATTGGGCAATCATCAATTTAACAAGAAATTTAACAAGAACAAATGCTGGATTCTGCACCTGGGATGAAGTACAGCCTGGGAGAGGAGTGGCTTGCAAGCAGCCCTGCAGAGAGGGTGCTGCTCAGCAACCAGCTCAATCAATATGAGGCAGCAGTGTGCCCTGGCAGCCAAGAGGACAAACTGCATCCTGGAGTGCATCAAATACAGCATAACCAGCCAGTCAAAAGAGGTGATCATTCCACTATACTTAGCATTGGTACAGCCTCACTGAAGAGCATTGTATGCAGTTCTGGGGCCCACAAATTAAGGATGTGAAAGTCTTTGAATGAGTCCAGAGGAGGGCAATAAGGCTGGTGAAGGGGCTGGAAGGCACGTCCTGTGAGGAGCGGCTGAGGACTTTGGGTTTGTCTAGTTTGGAGAAAGAGGCTGAGAAATGACCTCGATTGCTCTCTAGAGCTTCCTGAGGAAGGGGAGAGGGAAGTGCTGCTCTCATCTCCCTGGGATCCAATGACAAGACACATGGCAGTGGTTCAAAGCTGCGTCAGGGGAGGTTCAGACTTGACATTAGGAAACATTGCTGAGAGGGTTGTCAAACAGTGGAACAAGCTGATGCCCCATGCCTGTCTGAGAGACATTTGGACAGTGCCCTTAAAATATGCTTAAATTCTGATCAGCTCTGAAGTGGTCAGGCAGCTGGACTAGATGATCACTGTAGGTCCCTTCCAACTGGGATGATCCTATTTTTAAAATGTACATGTACATGAAGCTTATTCAGTAGGGTTTTGCTAGTGGACTATATTCTGGTCTTCTGTTTGAAATCTCTTTAGAAATAGAAATTTTCAGGATTCCTCACATGCTAGGCTAAATAAACATCCTTTGTATGGCCTGGCATCACCTTTTCCATCAACAACTAAACTGCATATTCGGTTGATAAGCTGGAGGGAAGGGATGCCATCCAGAGGGACCTTGACACACTTGACAGGTGAGCCAATGCCTCCCTCATGAAGTTCAACCAAGCCAAGTGCAAGGTCCTACATGTGTGTCAGGGCAATCCCAGGCAGAACTACAGGTTGGGCAGAGATGAGATTCAGAGCAGCCCTGCGGAGAAGGACTTGGGGGTGTTGGTTGACAAGAAACTGAACATGAGCCAGCTTCAGTGTGCGCTTGCAGCCCAGAAACCAACCGTATCCTGGGCTGCATCAAAAGGAGCGTGACCAGCAGGTCAAAGGTGATCCTACCCCTCTACTCTGCTCTCGTGAGACCTCACTTGGAGTATTGTGTACAGTTCTGGTGTCCTCAACATAAGAAGGACATGGAGCTGTTGGAGCTGTTGGAGCAAGTCCAGAGGAGGCCACGAGGATGATCAGGGGCTGGAGCACCTCCCGTATGAAGACAGGCTGAGAAAGTTGAGGCTGTTCAGCCTGGAGAAGAGAAGCTGCGTGGAGACCTCAGAGCAGCCTTCCAGTATCTGAAGGGGGCTACAAGGATGCTTGGGAGGGACTCTTCATCAGGGACTGTAGTGGTAGGACAAGGGGTAACAGGTTCAAACTTCAACAGGGGAAGTTTAGGTTAGATTTAAGAAGTTCTTTACTGTGAGGCTGGTGAGGCACTGGAGCAGGTTGCCCAAAGCAGTGGTGAATGCTCCATCCCTGACAGTGTTCAAGGCCAGGTGGAACGGAGTCTTGGGTGACATGGTTTAGTGTGTAGTGTCCCTGTCCATGGCAGGGGGGTTGGAACTAGATGATCTTAAGGTCCTTTCCAACCCTAACTATTTTGTGATGGTACACTGGAAGGTACCATTTTTCATCAATTTCAATGAGAGGATAGGGACTACTCAAAAATACTTGTGAAAAGGCCCTTAAGACCTTCAAGTACTCAAAGGATTAATCTGAGTCTATAAAACATGGGAAGAACATTCTCTAGGAGTGGAAGATTTAAACTTTGAAGGGAGCCAAGATTTAAACGTGCATGAAACAATCATCAATCATCTGTGATTAACCAGCCGACTAGAAGCTGTAGAAAGGAGCACCAACAAGCTCATGAGTTCTTGAAAGCAGCCAGATTGTATCCACGTGTGGCTGAAGCCCTTACCTTCTGGCATTCTAATAAACTCTTGATTTCTGACAGTATCTCAGATTCCTCAGGCACCCATGAGTACTCTATGCCAAAAATGCAAGAATGGAAACATTTGAAGTAGGTGGGAGATGTTTCCTAAGGCATTGTGATGCATTATGGAAAGAGATGTAACACCATATATCCAAATCTGTGCCATGGGATCTGGCCACCCAATAAATTGCCTGTTCAGTGCCTGCCATCATGCAACCCATCTCTTCCCTCAGAGTAACATACATGACTAGGTCTTCCCCCACATCAGCAGCATTGTTGAGACCAAGACTGTCTCTCAGTGACAGTTAAGTAAACAACCTCAGTTTACAAGTAAAGCAGAGACTGTGTTTGATTGCCTTGGAAACATGGCACACTAACCTTTTTCCGCTATCCTCTCTCATCCTTCTCCTGCAATTTGATGGCCAAATAGCATTCTTTGCAATACTTGTGTGCCTCACTGTCTGAAACTAACAGGTGGAAGAATTTGATCTCAGTAAACAATTGTTTTGCTGCGGCACAAGAAAAGAGCAAAGTCTGGTTCCCTGAGCAGTCTAACCGTACAGGGAGAACAAGCAAAAGCAGCATGAATTATTTTAGTCAGTCAAGTTAGCAGACCCAATACATGGAGGAAATCTGCTGGGCAAGACCACATGATTTAACATACCCAATTTTCTAAGCATAACTTCATTTAGAAGGCAAAAGAAAAGTCGGTCTCTCACTGTCACGCATGGAAGAGAGGGAAATAGTATCCAGCCTCTAAAAGGAGGAAGGTTGAAGGAGCTTGTGACTGCACACCTGCTAAGGTGGACTGGTAGATACGTGTTACATGTGCAACCTCTATACACATGCATGTGCCCACACACATCTAACTGGTATCTATAGAAATGAATGGCAAGCATGTCTGTGCTTGACACTGCACTGACCTACAAATGAATGTATATATACACATGCACACCCTCAGACCAGATGGAGCATGAACATTTTCGATGTGAACCCGTTCATATGACATCAAATTGTGGAAGCTGCTGCCACTGTCCTACCTGTATACTGAGGTGCATACCACTCCTTTCATGGATATGATCACACCCTCTGTGTGCTCTGTGGGAAATACATTCCAAAGAATGCTGGTTGTGGTGCCACCCTTAAGCATTATTTGCCTGTTTGACTCCAAGTCTTTTTCCCATTTGCACAAACCTCAGATACACTTATTTGACCCCGTCAATCACACAACAGCTCAGAGGTGCTTTTCTGAAAATACACAATATATGCAGTTTATTGTTCAGTTTGGTATGAGGGCCAGGGGTTGTTCAAGCACAGGCTTTTTCCTTAGACATGCATCCCATGGATGACTCGGGGCTGAGAGTCTCTAGTCCTTCACCAGCCGGTAGATGTGATGCTGGGCGCCATGGTCACTAGTTGACACCTCAAAAACATACGCTATGCACAGCAAGGTCTCCTGTGTGTCCCTGTTTGTGACAACCTAGACAGAAGAGAACAAACTGAGATGGCAACTGCTGTTTCTCTGCTTACATATTCCAGCATATTTCATGTAGAGCAAAAAGTCAGTCACAGGCAAAGAACAGGAATGATACACAGTTCAGCCACCACAACGCCCAGTCTGCGCACCGACACACCCAAGCAAAGCACTCTTGCAGCATCAGGACTACAACACAGTGAAGAGACAGGGAGGTGAGCAGAGTCCACTGTGGAGAAAAGAATGCTGTGACCAAACAGTGACTGCAGAAATGGAAGTGGGTCCACTAGGCCCTCTGCTCCCCACCCCCAGTGTTGCAGATTTCAGCAGACAGAAGGTGTTTCACATTAAATCTCTTTTTGCTTTGTTTGTTGGGTATAGAGAAGCCACCTCCTCTGGTACAACCATTCCTGCAAAACCATAAACAGTTCTTCCCCTCCATCTGCTCCTGTGCTTGTCAGTGGTAGACACAGACCATGAGGATTACAGAATATAAATCATTATACAGGAGGTTTATAGGTTTGACTCCATTATGCCTCCCATTCCATACACTGTAGATGTCAGAAGAAGGATGGCTGGCTGTTACACTTGTGCATCCTTTCAGAAGCTCCTTTTTTTTCCATTTCTTCTTCTCTGGTCCCTCAGGAACCTTAGCTTCTCTGAAATGTGACACAGTGTCAGCAGCACGATGATGGAATAGTGTTGTCTAAGTTTCAAAAGCATGCACTGCCTGTATTACATGGCAGGGACAAGCGAAATGATGCACCCAGATCTCCTAGCTCAGCTTTGCCCTGTCATTGCACAACTTTGCACATTCTTGTCATCTGACTTTGTGTCATAGCTAAAGCTTCAAGCAGTCCTCTCCTGCTGGAGGTGGTATATTTTTATCAGCGGCAGCACCAACCAAACTGCAGAAGAAAAACATACCAGATGGAGGCTTGAACTGTACCAAAGCCCAACCACTCTTGTGAAAACAGAAAAAAGGAAAAAAAAAATAGCCATTATCAAACTTGCTTAATAATTTTAGCAGTCTGGTTTTGGTCTATTCTTTTTTCTTTTCTTACTTCACGAGCATATTTTGCATACTTCATGAGCATACTTTGCAGCTGAACTAACTCTTCTCCGTTCTTCTGCAAGCCATTGTGAGTTATACACATCCAGGTATGTTAAAGCACCACAACCTTTTCTGAAAAATGGGCTCAGGAATCCTGGAGGGCTAGATCCAGAGCCATGTGCAAAGCAAGAGCATGCTTGTGAGATTAGGGTATCTAAGCTCTAGAAAAAACATAATTGGACTTGCCTCAGAAGTTCGTAGTGGGGACTGAGGATTACCAGCGTGCCTTACCTAAGTATGACCATTTTTCAGCCACCCAGGAAGAGTGGGGGGTGGAAAATGCTCAGCCTGCTGCTCAGAGAGCAGGACTGCAAGGCCATATTAAAAGCTGTGCCAGCACGCATGAGACATGCCTCTCTGTGACATGGGATAAGGGAAGGACATGAGATTATTCAAATTGTGAAGCTCCAGAGGAAGTACAAATATATGACAACTTTGTTCATAGAATTTATAGCAAGTGCTGGATTGACTGAGGAGCGAAACATGCAGAAAGCAGTTACAGTGTTCCTCAGTGTGCATTACAGCACAGGTCTTCCATCTCTCTGTCACTGCCCCCTTCATGCTTTTGCTTGTCTTAAAAAAGCTCTTAGCATTTACACTCCTCTTTTCTTCCAGATGCTAGAGCTCTTAGTGCAAACATGAAAGAGTAAAGCCTCCTGAAGCTCTGTGAGGTGTATTATTAACCTTGTGTTTTACAGCTGAGGTACCTGAATCACACAGCAGTGAAATGAGTTGCCTGAAGTCCCACAGGATCTCCAGAGAATGGAATGAAGACCACTTGATTTCCATTCTTTCACACAGCCACTAGCATAGCTTCTACTTACCCAACCATAGCTCCTCTGGGCAAAGATCTGTGACGCTTGTTGTAGAGGCAAGCACAGAACTCAGCCCAAGGAAAATCCATCTTTTAAGCTGTCTTTGCCCTCTTCCCAAATTTAGGCTACATCTGAGCCTGGAAAGGCTCTTGCTATAACATAGACACTAATGGAAATCTAATTGCTATAGCCTTGTAGTACTGCCTTACCTAGAGGCTACAGAGGCTTCATGGAGGTGTCGCAGAGCTTCCTGCAACATGGCCTTTTATGTGCTTCCATATTATTTCCTGGATCAGAATGGTCCTGAGGAAGCAACTTCCCCTTCTCACACCCCACCCCAACGTGGTCAGTGAAGAACTCTTCCCATGGCAAAATTATATAGGCACTTAACAGTGCTCTTGTTAGGTTTTTTTTTCACCTGGCAAAAAGGACCACGGCACAGAAAGGACCAACATTTGTCCAATAGTGGAACAAGCATTTCCTTCACTGACTTTTGTATCTTTCTCCTTCCTTTATCTCTCTGCCTCATGAGTTCTCCCTCTCTGGTTTTTTTTCGATCTCTATCTTAACTTGGGTCTCTCAAATTCTTCTGCTGCTTCTCTACATGAGTTACTACCTCTAGAGCTCTATAAATGTTCTTGAGGTGCAATACACATGAGAGATACTAAATTCAATGAGCTGTAAAAGGAAATCTGCTTTGACTCACAACAGTGAACTCCTGCATGGGGTTTACAGGTTTCCAAGCTCCAACGAAAATAGTTGAATGTCCCACCTGTAAAATAGTAAAGTTCTCCAGCACACTGTTCATCATATACTTCTCAGGAAGGTGCTTGAGTTTATGAATGAAGTTTATCATGTATTCGCAGAGAGGGGAACGGTGAATGCGATACGAATAGTGTCCATTTTCATAGCGTGCATACTCTGTCTGCAATGCAAAACATGAAAGGGGCACATGGGGCTAATGATGTCACATTAAGTATCATCAATCACATAAAGGGATTCAGAACAGAAAAATTATAACATCATTTCCAAGTCATTTTACTAACAGTAATGAGCTGATTAATTATTCCTCTACAGTACTTCATGCCAAGGTCAGTCTCATTGAGCCCTCTAACTTCTTTGGCTTGGTCTCTTTTTTCTTTAAAACACTGGGTTCTAGCTTACAAGCTCCCAAGGAGCTGTGAAAGGTAATTAAGGGGAGCAGACCAATTGTTAGCTGTACTATGGTTTGCATCTCTACTGGAAAAATATTAGGTGTGAATAAACAGAAGTTAAAAACTGCTGATTTAGCAAGACCAGAAAGCTCCTAATAATGATGATAATTGTATGATAAGGATGTTTCACAGCTAGAAAGGACTAAAGCCTTACCTGTGAGAGAGAACATTGTATCTCTCTGCCCCTTAGGAGAGTGTCTGGCCAAAGTTACACAGAGGGCTTTTTTTGTTTACATCTTAGATCCTGTATATTTCATCTTCCTTTGAACAGAAACAGAGGCTGGATTCTATCATTTCACAGTGACCCTTAAATGAGTATTACCTTCTTTCACCACAGGAATTTGGTCTCCTTTCCTGTGTACCATGACAACCTTTCTTTGCCTATCTATTCCATGACACAAATACAGAAGCGGACTTCAGGCATGCCTATCCTATGACTGGAGATGGGTCTTGGGGAAGGATGTAGCCCGAACTGACTGCTGGCACAAGAGTACCTGGTGTTCTGCATATAGCTGCTCCTCCTGCATCCAAAGGCTCCTTGAGAAAGAGAGCAGCAGGAAGCAGGTCAGAGCAGCTCTCTTAGCAGCTGAATATGGCACCAGAAATAACTTCTTTCAGTGCCAGATATGTGCATAATTATGCACTGTTACACAGTGCTACAAGTGTACAAGCACTAGGATAAGCTTTGTAAAACCTTAAGACTATAGTCTGTAAATTATTAGTCAATTAATGACGATAGTGTATAAATGATCTGTTTAAAAACACTGATGAGAGCGAGGTCTTACCTATTTGTTTTCACATTTCTGGGCTACAGAACAAGTATCAGGGTTTCCTATAGCTTTTCTTTGCTCCCCAAAAAACCCCAGACAATCACCACAGCTGAGTCTTACATATTCACATATCTTCAGAAACTGAGATTTAAGGAAAAAAAAAATAGCAAACACTGCCAGTGTCCTGAGACAAAGCCACGTTGTGGGCTGGAGCAATCTTACAACTGCACGTCTCAGATATAATAATCTACAGCATCGCTCTCCCTGACAACAAGCACTGGATATTTTGCCTTGAGATATACACAGGATGCAAATACTTGAAGTGACAAAAGAACAGCCAGAGAGAACCTTGCACCCAGGTGTCTGCTCCCTACCTCCACTTTCTCCACCACCTGCTTTCCAAAGGAACACACTTTGGTGGAACAGGTAATGACCATGTTTTCGGGGCTCTCGTATTGGCTGGAAACGCCATAGAAAGATCTGGATTCATCTTCAATATTGGTGTTCAAATCAGCCTGCCAAAACAAAACAAAACAAAAAAAACCCAAACACAAACAAAACAAAACAAAAAAATCATCAACAACCAAGAAAAATAGATGGTTATCAGTAGATGGTTGTGGGGTTTTTTTCACCATTACCTTGCATAGCCAGGATTGTAAGGTATTGGAGTGTCCAAAGCTCCTTAAGCAGACCAACATGCATCAAAAGCAAGCAGGGGAATGTGAAAAGTATACACTAAAATCCAGTTCCTTCTTCAGAAAAATGTTGATGGGGGTCTGCACATGCATTGTGGGAATCTGGTGGAATATCCTCTTAACAATTAAAGCATGTGACAGTCCTTTGCCTTAGCTGGTATCAACCATAACTGGTTACCAGTGTATCGAGGTAATTACCACTATATTTACCAGTATATGGAGGTACTCACTAAGCATGTGAAGAGCAGACAGGAAGGCACTGTAGAGATAGAGCAATGCAACCAAGGGCTAGATTAGGCTGCTTCACTAAGGAGGAAAAATAAGGGCACAGTAACTCCTTTTATAAAGCTTTTCCAGCCTGGATATGTAGGTAAGGGGAATGAGCCAGAGCAGAAAAAAGGAATGTGTGAGCACACACACACATTAGACTCAGAAGCTATGATATGAAGAACATAAGTAGACAGGATGCAATGTAAGGAATGTAGGTTGCTGATGGATCCAGCCCAGTTCCACCTGAATACAAACGCATCTCCATGAGCAGTCACAGTTTTCACATGTGTGTGCCGAAGGCTGGCCAATTGAAGCCTCATGGTGGGACCTAACGCCTAAAAATCCTGGTTGTCTGAAGTTTCCACCAGGGGTCACTCAAAACACGGTTATTTGAAGAAGAGGCGTTCCCTTAAACTCTGGAAACCACGGGTGTGTACGAATGCCCAGCTCAGCTTCCTCGCTTTCAAACCTAAAACGGTGGAGCTTCTCTGCGCTCCACAAGCCCAGCTGCTACCTTACATCCGCAGAAAGGCAATGATCAGGTCCCAAGGAGCGTCAGACTATTTTATTCTTCCTGCTTAACTGAGGGTAATGGGAAACTGAAGAAAGTGTTTTCCTGTTACCGTGGATACAGCATGAACAGGACTGTATTAGATGCTATTGTAGCATGGGTTTCTTAGCCAGTGTCAGTGAAGGGTTTTTATTCAAGATCTAGAGCAACACTTAGGACAAGAAATGCCACACTTGGAAGTGAACCACCTCAACAATGAATCCCTCTTTTCTTTGCCACACAAAATACTTGCCTCTTTGCCACAAGATAATACTGTTAGCTTATTTCTTGTAAGTAGCAATTTCACAAGAAGCTTAAGTCAATCTAGAAAGTTGCTAGTCCAGCCTTCTCCCCATCTGTAGCCACAGAAGCTTGCTGCTGCTTTGTGCCACTGTTAGCAATTGTACGACTCTGGTTAGCCAGATGAGAGAGCTGATCTCAGCCAAAAGAAATCTTTTGGGGGTTTTGGTGAGTTAGTTTTCAGTCAGAAAAGGAAAGCTCACTTGGATCTCCACAAAGGTGCAGGGGCTGGAAGAGGTGAGAACACACACAGAAGTTGAAGGCACAAAGAGTGCCTATTTTGATAGTAACACGTACTCAGGTTGGCTTGAGCCTCTTGGGAAACTGCACCTCAAAGTTGTAGTCTGATAACACCAGGCTGGTCCTGACACCAAGAGAGAGCAGTCTCACTATCCCAGAGCAGTTTGTGCCTCCCCATTCCTCTCCTGTACTGACACAAATGTTTCCCTAGCTGTATTACAAAACTCTCCGATGAATTGCTCAACAAGTCCTCAGCATCAATTCCCTGGCCTGATTCAGAAGCACTTATGTGTGTACAGACAAAGAACATGTGTTGGAAGGATAGGCAACAATAGGGAAAGCAGAAGGCAGGACTACTTTCTAGAGAAGGCTGGGTTTGAGTAACTACAACAGTAAATGCTAGAAGCCGTACTTTGTTGTAATTCCTTTCCAATTAAAAGTTTTGCCCCTAGACAGGTAGGCTGGGCTGTCTCTGTACCATAACACTCACCAGCAGCTCACATCAGACAACAGTGATGCCAAAAGCACTAGCAGAAGAAGCAGCCATGTAATAATCTGCAGTATTTCCATTCAGTCCGGTTCCCATAGCTGCTAACTTGCCAATTCAGGTGTGTGAAGGAGGAGGTAGTAAAGGAAATAAACCATGTCCCCATTTATTTCAGAAAAATCAGTTCTTTCTGCACACTGGGAGATTCCTGCCACTGTGCTATTGTGCACACATATTTCCACGTAGAAAAAAACCTACCGTCTGCATTAGATAAATGATGCCACAGATAAATACCAATAAAATCCAATGACTAGGATTTTTCTTTTTTTAAGTACAAACTCAGAAGCAAAGGAAAGGCAGATTTGGGACAGGTTTTTCATGAAGTCCAATGAGCAATTTATCTCCTGAGGTATCTTCTAGACTAGCAGTTATAGCATTCAGATAATTCTAGTGGAACAAAGATTCAATCTGGGCAAGATGGCAGAATACATCAACACTAGCAGCATCAGGGATGGAAATACAGCTTTCACTCTGCTCACACTGCTTTCAAAGGAGAGCATAACAGCACAGTATTTAAATACATCATCATGAATCACTCTTCAAAATGACTGTGTCATTTTGTATAATTTCTACCAAAAAATCCTTAAGAGTTGGACCATCTTCATCACAGATTATGGATGAAAGAGAGTCCATTTCTCAGACTGGCTTGTCTTCTTCTCTAAGACTCCCCCTGAAGTAGGGGCAGTTCTTCAACCCCTGTATATACGGTTGGCTCTACATGTATAATACATTCATACCAGTTTACATCAGCTGTGTACTTGTCCCTTTATATTTTCCTAAATTTGCCATTTCCTGCATATTATATATTCAAGAGTATCCTCTGATTTATCAGGAGATAAAGCAGCTTATTCTCATGATTTCTTCTCCTCAGAGGGTAGCTTCACAAAACAATATCCAGCTGAATTGGTGCCCGATTTCTCTTAACAATTTCTCCCTTTTTGCCCCCATAGTTTTCTGTCTCCTCACCGAGCTGAAAAAAGATGTGTTAAAATACATCAGTAAAACTATTTGGATTTAAAGCTTCTCTAAAAATCATTTTACATCATTCACATTTGCACAACTGAGGTAGTGCTAACTCTTGCACAAGACTTGGAAACAACAGCAGGAGGAAGATTGGAAGCTTTTACATTGTCATGACCACCTAAATGACTCTAATGCAGTGTTATGCTCTAATGGTTTGCCTACACTGGAGTAGCATATGTGGGCAAATCCAGGCTAGCTTTAACCTGGTAGCACAGGTATTAATAGGAACAAGGCATAGGCATTACACAATAATAATTCAGGTTGCCAAGTGAATTATTTTGGTCCTAGAACCATAGAATGGTTTGGTTTGGAAAGGACCTTAAGATCATCTAGTTCCAACCCCCCTGTGATGGGCAGGGATGCCTCACACTAGAACATGTTGCTCAAGGCTCTGTCCAACCTGGCCTTGAACACCGCCAGGAATGGAGCATTCATGTCATGCTGAAGTCCTTTGCAGTCAAATCTTCCCACTATAGTTAATGCAGCTACTTTGTACCACAAATGTACAAATATTAGAGAGTAGCAATACTACTCTATTCTGGTTTAGGTTTTTACTGAGTTACTGTAATACTCATTTACATGTCAATGCAATAAACGGGATTGTTTATTTGACCCATACTGCAGCAGTCTGAGTAAAGATTAATTCTTTCCCATCTCCATAGACGAAATAACTCGGAGTCCTTCACAGTATTGTTCAGCTATTTCCCTTGGGGATGATAAACACAGTGCATGGACCCAATTCCACTTTTCCAAGGAACTTGTCCCACTGTGTCAAAAGAACAAAGGGTCAAGGCTACACAAGTTTGGTCAGACCACTGCTACGTACACATAGCAGAAGCTAACACTGTAGAACCAGACAAACATGTTCAGGGTGTCACTACTAAAGTTAAGGTTACAGTCCCCTAAAGACCAAAGAACCACTCAGGAGCAGAACTCTAATCTGTTAGCTTTCCCCGCTATGGAGATTATTACCTTGAAGGGAGACAAAGCAGAAAATTGAGGAAGAACACTGTTATCTGCCATAGCCAAATTAACTTGTAAGTGTCAACTGGACACTGAGGTAAATCACTAATGGAAGCAGTTAAACTTCCCAGAATCGCGCCAGGACAAAATCATGCTGCACATCGTGGGGTCTATAATGCTTAAAAGAGCTACTGCTTTTAACTTAACATCTAAAAACGTTACTGCCTCCTTGTCTAGATTCTTATATGCTCCTCACAATACCTATGCCATCAAGACTAGAAACCACATTGCTGCTTTGGGGAAAGGGCTCTTCCTTTCTTCACTTTCAGAGTTTCTTTCTTTAAAAAAAACCTCATGTCAGAGCACACCCAATCCTGGGGTGAGCACCTGAGGTGAGCAGAGAGAGATCTGCTTTACTCTGTCCACTACATTCCATCCCTCAAAGATGCAAGGGAATAATAGTGACTATGACTTAAAGGAAACTCATCTTCCCAGCACTTCATCAAGTAGGAAGGCTAATCTTCACTTTATAGTCTGAGAATACATGAACCTGTTGAATACATAACTGAATGCGATTCTGACCTGGAGACTAGAACTTAGGTGCCTCAGCTCATCACTGGCAAGAACACTGATAACGTTCAGTAACAACTGAGAGAGATAACTCTTTAATACGTTCCTTACCCCAGCCTAGACAGCCAAAGGAGACATAGTTAGGACTTAGGAAAGTCCACAGCCAATGAACTGAGTCACCTTGCCCCCCACGCTCCTACTAGCCACTGCTAGCAACAGGATAGCACTGCAGCAAGGGGCAGCAGCAGCATTCAGATGGTTGGGTGGTGTCCAGCGCTCAAACACAGCTGTTCTCCATCTCTTCAAGGGAGAGGTATATTACAAGCTAAACCTGAGTTGTGAGCCACCAATTGGACCATACTACTTTATGTGACAATAAGGGTTCTTGCTTTCTGCTCAAGAAGTTCTAGATGCAAAAACCTCTGAGTGTTCCCTTATGCATGCTCTACCATGAGAGCAGTCTAATGTGTCTGGGATGCATTTAACTTATTGTGCAAGCTCAGCACAGATTACATACTTGTCTATACCTTGCACATCTCAGAGATCTACATAGTGCATGCAAGAGAGCTGATCTGCTTGTTTTGGGGGAAACAGCTGAGAATTCCTCCTTTCCATGGAAGTAAGCAGAATTTTTAAATACTTACAAGACAAGGTTTCTAGACAGAAGAGAAGGGATTTGTTCAGGGAAGGGTAAGTAACCCTCAACAAGCTAGTACTACCCTTTGGGTTTTTTTAAATCATATTGGTTATCTGAATCTCTTCACAGCTCTGCTGAAAACAGTTCTGCTGTGCTAGAGCGTATCATCACTCAACATCTCAACCCCAACAAAGAAACACAGAAAAGTTGGCATTGTGCACAGTCCTAACCATATAGTAAGCCAAAGTTTTGTCTGATCTTTGGTGGGAATGAGTTTCACAACTGTTAACCAAGAAAGGACTCATTCCCACTAGGACGAGGCTGTGAATCAAAATTTCTCTGAAATGTTACCTTCAAGAATCAGTCTTCAGCTTATCTGAGGCTTTGCAAAGCAATGATTGGACAAGAGTCCAAATGGCACTAAGTGCCATAAGAAACCATAGCTTGTTGATATCTTGCACACAGGTCCCACATGGTTAACTGAAAAGCATATGCTGAACAATTATTTCAAAACAGTCCAAAACTTGTGGCTCTGCAGCTTCAGCCTCCAAGAAAGGGGGAAGGGGAGAGTTTCTAAGCTAGCCAAAGATAGCAGCAGGCCTTGCGAACTGTATGGGTAGCTGTGACATAGCTAGCTCCCCCCAGGATTGTTCTATTTTGACAGCCAGCAGACAAGTTCTCACAGCAATGCAGTCTTTCAATCTGCTTTTTGCTGACAACAATCTCTATACTGTTTAACCCTGTGGGGACTAACTTTGGTGAAAGAAACACCATTGACAGAGTTTGCTTCCATAAGATAGCAACTGGGAGGAGGTTGTGCTGGTGACTGCAGGTGAAATTACTGGGCTGTCAGATCCATTCTCTGAAAAAATGTGCAAAAGTAGAAAATCTCTGTTGCTGGCTGCCTCAGAAGGAGGGCCAAGGAAAGAATGGACATGGAGACCAAATTAAATCTCCTTGCTCTCCAAGCAGTCTCTGCCAGATCAGGACTGAGGGCATACAGTGGGCAGGGCAGAATGCCAAAGGGAATTTGCACTGCTGCTGTTTTCTGTTTTGACTGAATTTGCTTGGGACAGAAGAAGCCAAGTGCAGGACAGCAGTCCCCCACCCATGCCTTCAGCCCCTTCCACTAAAGTATAATGCATTAACTGGAAAGAAAACAGTGATTTGCCTGGTTCAGCTTGCCTATCGCCAGGGAGAAGAAATTAGTACATACATTCATCATTTGCAGGAAAGATCCTGCAAATTGCCCTGATCCACCCCTCTGCAGATGGCTGCTCTGGACAAAGTACTACCTTACCTGTCCTGAATTCCTGGTTTGTCATTTTCCTTCTATCTTCTACCTAGAGTCTCACAACTTCTGAAAGTTTTAAGATGCAAGTGCAACATTCTAGTAATGTGCAAAGCCCTGAAAACACCTCTTCCCCAAACTATTAATAACGATGCATATAGGAGGAGTTCATGGGGAGAACCAAGTAACAGGTGGTAGAGATAATATTACATTGGAAAAGAGCAGAGCTGATACTGCCCATGTGTTGGGAAGCTAATATCTCATATTCATTGTTGTGTGCTAGAATGCACTTGGAGCACATAGAAATGTCACACAGATGTCACACGCAACCTGCCAATCCAAGTTCAAGAGTTAGTTCATTGTACTAAACTCCCAGTGCCAAAATCAAGGGAGAATTGCAAACACTGCTTATGTTTCAAACTAATCAGCTTTTAACTCTTAGCTATTGTATAGATAATTTAAAGCACCATTGAACGAACAGGAACGTCTCTTTTCTCAGTCACTCTAGATCCTAAGTGCTATCAGTGATGTCAAGAAACCAACCCTGGTGTTTAGGGTTAGGCTTCTGGTGCACAACAGATCATCTGGTATATTCAGTGCTTAGTGCAGTAATGGCAGGTTCCTGCCTCAGGTTCTTCAAGCCTAAAGCCACATACAAACAAATCCAGTTTATTCAATTACTTGATTTTTTAAGTCTTTGTCACCTGCAAGCACCACTTCAATTCAGAACCTTTGAAAACTCAATCATATCTTTCACGTCCCAAAACACCCCTTCAGGTCTTTAACTCTACTTACCAAGTTTAAGAGTTATTATTGATTTGCTTTTGGATAATACTTTTATCCTAAAATCATGCTATAAATTCAACAGTGTATTTGTATAGCTCTTTGGACACCAACACCTCTTCAGACTTCCAACAATCTATTTGTATAGCTGTCCAGATCAGTCAGGCAGCAAAAAGAAAAAGCAACCTTGGATATACTGTTACAGAGGTATAAAAATGCAGATGGGCATAAAAATCTCAGCTGAAATACGGTTTTCTTCTGTTAAACTGCTGGATTTGTTGGGTTTTTTTAATTCACATTGCCTTATCTGTGGGTAGAGGGGTTGCACTACACACATCTACTGCAATACATCAAACGCCAGAAGTCCCATGATGCATGTAGCACAGTGCATGACAGGCACAGCTCACGTGCTTTGTTTAAGTGTAAGACTGCATTACCACAATATTTCAGACATGTTGAATGCAAAGTTTTGCAAAAAGTTTGGAGTTTTTTCTCAAAAAAGACCAAATTTTCTGGAGCAAAAGTGGGTGGGTTTTTGTGGTTTTTTTGTTTTGTTTTTTTTTAAACTGCTTTAATTATATTGCCTTAGAGATCCTAGCTGAAATCTTACCACAAGATTAATCAAAGTACTCATGTGAAACACAGCACAAGCCATAGAAGTGCCCTAATCCTTTCTCATCTAGAATATGGCATCAGGAATGGAGTTTTTATCCCCTACTGCTGTCTAAGTGTACTGGTGCAGAGCCACAGAACATCATATTCATGTTAGAATAAAAGTGTTTCAAATCCTCCTATGTATGTCACATGTCTTTATACAAGCCAAATTTCAGCGAGTTGATACCCTCTGAACAGCAGTCACCTCATGTGTGCCACAAAGACTCCAACTTCATGACAGCCCACCATGTAAATCCTTCAAAAGCTCAACTTACGTTGGTCTAACATTATGCACAGGCCACATTTATCCTTCTGATACTAAAAAAACAAACCACACAATCCCCAAACCCAACCCCACAAGCACTAAAGAACACGAACAGTTTTTATAAACAAAATCACAGTTGCACTAGATCACATTTCATTATGATTTCCCTCTCCTTAAGTCAATAAATCAAAAGTATTTTATTCTCTCCACCTAACATCTCCCTCTAAGCCCTTCTTTTTGGTTCCAGAAACTTCCAAAGTACTTCAGAGTAATACCACACAGGAGCCAGTGCTCTTTACCCAACTTGAAGAGTTTCCTGGGATCCCACATCAGAAAGCAGCTCCTGCTTTTCCAAGGACCATTCTTAGAAGCTATCCCCTCTTACTCTTTTTCCTTCCTTTTGTCACATCACACTTCTGTTTCGCTTTCCAAACAATTATTAGCACAGCAATCACTACCCAGGTTTTGTCAAAGGATACCCTTCTCAACAAGATGCTTTCTGTCTCTCTCAAGTATTTCTCTTCCACTTGGAACAGGCCTGGTCTTTTACTTTTTGTTTTCACCTTTGTTGTACTGTGGCAGAGGCTAAACCCATAAGGGGCCAGCTCAGTAGCACAGTCTGTGGCTACTAAAATTATGTGTCTCCAAGAATCACCAGCAACTAATACTCAAAGCACCAGACATTTGAAAAGCAGACTCCCAGCCAACATTCTCTAACTCAGTTCTGGAAAGGCTAAGGCTTGGGACAGCTGGGAAGTTGCATCTCCAGGCACTTAAGTTAACTCTTCCTTATCCTGAAAGCACCAGTGAAGAGGCTTTCTAGTGCCAGTTTGCACTAAGAGTATGAGATAGGAGAGCTCAATTCTCATCATCTCACTCCTTACTGGAGTTGAATTGTAAGTCATAAACTGAGGGTGACAGGCTCCAAATCTCATTACACATTCCCTCAGCCATCTAGTATTCAACTGCCCCAAGCTGCTATTATTTTTAATCTTGTAATACCTGTAATAATATTGATCGCCAGAACTACTTTGTTTGTACCCTGAAGCACAATAGCAGAGTTTTGCAAGTTCCAGCTAACTCACAAAAGTCTAAATTGAGTGAGCAGGCTTTTGCCAGGCTGATTTCTGCCAATTTACCAGAAGTCATTTCAGTAATATATTATCAGTATAATCCAGTTTCATTATATGTCTCTCATCTTTTGTCTGTCCTTGTGCCTGCAGTAAATACGCATCTGTAAATGCTTGGATAACACAAAATGCAGCTACTGAGACAGGAGAAGAGATGGAAAAATGTTGTCTCTGACTGAGAAGTTACTCAACACAGAGAATTGAACACAATGTGAAAGATACATCTTGCTCCAGGCCAGAATGGGTGCCTTATGGAGTCAGGGAAAGATCTCATTTACAGTTGTGGGCAGCTGTGCAGGCAACTTATTACAGTTGTGACTATAATAACTTCCCTGCACAGGGAAAATTTTGGGAGGTGGCAGTCTTCCAACAGTTAGTGAGGCCACCACTTTTAAAGTGGGAACTTCATAGCAAATGGTTACTCTACAAAGGGTCCTTCCCTTACCCAGAATTTGACAAGGAAGAAGGCATTAGCTGGCCCTCTTTCAAAGAGCTCCTTCAGGCCCCCTTTCTTCTCAGGGAACTTGTCATAGATCTGTCGGATATCCACTGCCTCGAGGTAGGGGTCATTGTAGGTGGGGCTTGACTGCCCAATGTGCACAAACAGGTGTTTGTTATACTGCAAGAAGAGGAAAAACATGAAATTAGGAAATCACTCAGTACATACTGAACATTCATGGTTCTTCACAGAAGACTGCTGGAAGTCACTGAGGATTTTATAGCACTTTCTAGAAGAGCAGAAATATTAGCAGAAGCGTTGCTGCTAATACCAGCTCACGCTGCTTTTTTCTTTTTGATCAATACATCCACGTTTCTTGCTGCTTCTGAAATATTCTTGTCGGAGTTTTTTCTTATATTCGCTCCTAAACCATTGCCTCATGATGCTGCTATATAGTCTGCAGTAACCTGAGACACAAAACGTTATCTGTCACAGGTTACCCAGCCAAACATCAATGCTCCTGTCCTATGAAAAGCTGCCCAAAATCCCACAGCAAGGTACAAGGCACATACTGTCATCTTTTCTGAACTTTCCTGTCTCAGACAGAGGAAATGTAGCTGGCATATCACCAGTGTACACTTCAAGATGCAGTATCACAAGGTTTAGTGACACTGCATCTTACTACTTCCGTTTTATGGATGACACCATGCAAACACATTAATGCAAATTCATCCCAGTCGCCCCCAAATTTAAGTTCCCAGCACAACAGAGAAATACGGGACTTCATGTGATCTTACCATCACCTGATTCTGCATCTATCCTCCCAGGCTGAACAGCGCAGCTAGAATAGACCGGGAGGGGCTGTACCACTGTGTGGTACAACCTCAGTGCCTTGAGGTATGTGAACATCCACGATCCTGGAAAGGTAGGCCAGAAGCACATGGCACAGAACTGGCTAGATCGCTATAGGCAGTTCTATCCTCTAAGAGAAGGATATCTTGTTTTTCCCAAAGACTGCTTTCTGTTCTCAGTAGAGCAATGAAGCAAGTATTTCCATACACATATAATAGTATAGCATATCCACGATAAACAGGAGCTACCTGAAGACCAAAAATTAATGAGGGGTGGAAGTCAGGCGTGTATCTTACTGTGTCTTGGTCTTGTTGTTGTTCCAAGAACGCAGAGAATTCTAACATCCAAAGTTTGGAGCTAGCAACCCTTCGTCCTTGCCAAGCTGGTGCTGATGGGGAAGGCGAGAGGCCAGTAGAAGACTCAAACCCTAAGCACACAGGATTTATATAACAAAATTTAGAAAGAGAAAGGTTGGCAATATCTTTCCAGTAGAGCACCTGTTGTCAAAGCTGGCTCGTTACATTTTCTTATGATTTCAGTGATGCAAAAATAACATTCACAAGGTCTTCACTTTACTTGTGTTCTAAACAGCTTGTCAGTGACCCTCTGCTAAGACAGCACTGTCAGAGCTGGCAATGTTAAAGACAACATACCCGATTTTGACACCAGAGAAAAACCATTAAGCAACTTTAAGAGGACCTAGATTGAGCCCTAAATGAGCAATGAAATAAAATGCTTTAGTGTCAGAATAAAGCATGACCATTAACTCAGCCATTAACTTCTCAAAATGGGGAAACTGAGAAGGAAAAGACATTTGTTGTTCCACTTAATGGCAATCTAGAAAGACAATCATGTTATGATGGAAAACAGTGTTCTAGTACATGCAGCATGGTGGAACAACAGTAGAGACATGTAAATCTTTATTTTCTGCTGAGCCAGGAGAAAAAGAAATCCCAAAACAACCAACCTAGCCCAGGAAAAAGTGTTTCGTTTTTCTAATAAACAAAATTAAACAGCTTGAGCTCTCTTGGTAAAAGCATAAGAACAGGTAATAAGGGGAGATAATATAAAAATCCATTTTGGCCTCACTGAAATGTTTCAATAGGTTAAAATATTTTTAATTAATTTTTAAACTTTAAGTGTTGGCTATTCTTGAAGTTGGAATTTCATTTCAAAGCAAGGAACTACATTTCCTTACCTACCTGGTAATGGTAATGGCGGCTGTACAGCATAAGGTTGTTGAGAAAAAGGTTTCACACTACAGAAGTACACAAAGAGAGATGGTTAACAAAAAAAGAAAACAAGCAATTCTTAGCTAACTGCTTACACAGATCATATCGAGTATTTCTCCTGAGAGAAGCAGCAGCATATGCATCTTTGGGGAATTATCTTTCCTTGTGGGCAAGAAAGGGTCATGGAGAAAGACTCAAAACCGGAAAGAGACCAGGACTGGACTGAGTAAGATTTCCCTGCAGGTGTTCAGCGGGCTCTCCCTACAGCCTTGTTATTCAGAGATCCTGTCAGCCTGTTAATACGCTGGTGCAAATTGATTTATCCTTTCTTTCCAACCACAAATAGATTTAAATTTCTGCAAGTGGATATACCTCAGGGCTGGGTGCCTCTCAGACTTTCATGCCCAGGTTCAGAGATGTTCAACACCCGTAAGTGAACCCAGCTTTCAAGACAGTTCAGCTCCATTTTAACAACACTGTAAGAAAAATCAGGATCTGGAGACATCATCTGACATCAGAGATGGTAGATACTTCAGACTTCTTAAAGAACCTCTCACATTATGCTTCCTCATTCACTTTCAAGCTAAAAGCATAAAATCTACTTTTTATTTCTCCTAGGATGGTTTACATTCTTTTACTAGACGTTTTTCCCCACAAGATATCTTAGTATCTGTTGCCTGATGCCTCCACAAGCATTAGCAATGGCACCACAAGACAGCAGGAACACATAGCTTGTGTGAAGAACATAAACCCTTCCAGCTGCTTGTCCTTAAGTTAGCTTTTATTACTCCTCTTGGGTTATGTGATAAAAAGTGTTTCTCTACACAAAGAGGCACAGAAGAACTATGGCAGTCCTGAATAATACTCTGACACAACTACACCCAGGGCCATCAGTGGTGAAGGATCAGCCCATGGAAGGGTCATCTCCACACTGGGAGAGGGGAGCCCCAGTAATGCAGTCAGAGAAACAGAGCCGTGCCCAGGCCCCTTCCAGGGCTGCCAAAGGAGAGCCATTAGCTCCATTGTCCAGGTGTGAAGCCAAATTAGTGAACCAGCCTGGGAGGCTTACAAACCAGTCACTACAAACTCAGGAGGTCATTGCCTAGATGCTACGGGACACCCTAGTGAATGCAAGGGAAGAGCACTTTGGGATTGCACAAGATTTCTTATGGGGATGTTTATGGCTGCTTGAGTCATGGAACATATTAAAGAGGTGTAATTCGTGTTACAAGTACCATATGAAGACACAAGATTTTATCTATTTGAGATTCTCTCATGTTTCTCAGAGGCATCCCCGACCATGGCACGGGGGTTGGAACTAGATGATCTTAAGGTCCTTTCCAACCCAAACCATTCTATGACTATGGGCCTTAAGTCTCAGATCCACAGTCAGGAAATCTGTCTTAGCATTTTATAAATCTTGTAATCGCTAATTGGTGTTCCTCAGGAAGCACAGAGAAAGCAGAAGCATCTGCTTTGGATGTTCATATGAAGGAATACTCACTCTTGGGAAGATCCAGCTTGGCTTGGCAAAGCTCCTTGCCAAAACTGCAAGAGAACAACATACAGGCAAAAGTCACCACTCTTAGGACATGTTGTGGTCTAACCCCACCTGGCAACTAAGTACCACACAGCCACTCACTCACTCCCCTTCCCCTCAGCAGGATGGAGAGGAGAATCAGAAAAAAAGGTAAAGATCTTGAGTTAAAGTAAGAACAATTTAATTAAACTAAAGTAGTGAAGTACAATATAATACTAATAATGAAAAGGGAAATAATGAAAAGAAAGTGCGAAAACAAACAAACAAACAAAAACCAAACTCACACAAAAACCAAATCACAACAGGAAAAAAAAAGCACAAAACCAAACCAAAACAAAAAACCCCAAACAAACAATAATGCTGCACCACGCAACTGCTCACCAGCCACTGACCCATACCCAGCCAGTCCCTGAGCAGTGATCAGTCCCTTCTGGGTGACTGCCCCCAGTTTCTATCCTGGGCATGACATGCTGTGGTATGGAATAGCCCTTTGGCCAGTTTGGGTCAGGTGTCCTGCCTCTGCTTCCTCCCCGATTCCTGTGCCCCTCCTCACTGGCAGAGCATGAGACTGAAAAGTCCTTGATCGGAGTAAGAATCACTTAGGAACAACTAAAAACATCGGTGTGTTATCAGCATTGTTCTCAGACTAAAGCCAAAACACAGCACTGCACCCGCTACTAGGAAGAAAATTAACTCCATACCAAGACAGGACAGAAATTAAAAGCAAGGCTTGCTTCTTTCTCAGGAAAGAAACTGCAAGCTCATGGAGTTTGAAAAACTGTGACTGAATTTTATCTCTTTTTTCTACATTCTCAGTTTCATTCTTGTGGAGGTGCTGATTGATTGGTCATAGTTTTCTTTCTATGCACTACTATTAGTGACATACAAGCAACTGAACCAATAGCAGTTTTAATGTTAAACACTATGTATGCACCTTGCTCCTCTGTCTTCAAAGCTTTAATGATGCTCATCACCCTCTTGGAGGGACCATTTTCCCCAGGAGAGCTCCACACAAGTATTCTGGCAGAAATCAGTGCTTAGCAAGAGTTCATTAGGCCCAACTCATAGGTTAGGGGATGGTAACGGGCCTCGTCTATTAAGGATTTTATGTAAGGGTCATCAATTTGCGATCTAAGCACTCGGGAGGAGCTTACTTGAGAAAGGGTCAGGATGGCTCAAATGGTTTTACTCCAACAAGATCCTGGATTAAGAAAGTGATGCAGATACTTGAAGATATTTCAGGCAGCTGAAAACCCAAAGAATCTGATTGTTCTTCCAGTTGTGTCATTAAAAAAAAAAAAAAAAAAAAAAAAAAAAAAAAAAAAGGTATCTAGTGAAACTCCATTCAGTGGGAGCAAAGAATCAGACCCAAAATGTTGAAGCCACGTGGCAGATTTTTGTCATGTGCTTTGTGGCCTGTTCTTTCTGATGTTCTCAGGATTTTCATGAGCAGATCCCAGCATCCTTTCAACTACTCAAGCATCTTCAGCCGAACTCTGCTGGAGACACTGATTCACTCACCCCAGAAACAGCAGGGTAGGCAGGTCGTGGGAGACCAGGCAAGGCCATTTTACTATGGAAGGCAGTTGCAGAGATAATCTGGGCAGATGACATTGTAGCCATACTCTGCATGGCCTTATCTTTAGCTGCCTGATCCTATGGGCAAGAGTAGAAAGAGAAAGAAAATTATTATAATGACAAACAAGTTGCCTGGTCCGACGCTGAATAACCATGATCCTCGTCAGCTTCTTTGCAGGGAACAAGCACTTGGGCAGCAGGCTCACCAATAACTGTCCTAAGAACCAAGTCTCACCCATTACTATAGCTTCAGATGTGATTAATCACCCTTTCTGAAATGCTGGGATCACTGGTTTAGAGACTGCTAAACATTTATCTGTTCTGTCCGAACTGTTTTGTTAAGATGAAATGTTTTGCTAAGGAAAGTACAACCCTAGTTCACTCTTGTTTTTTAATAATTGGTAAGAATACTCAAAGGGAAAGTCTCTTGCTTATTAAAAAAACCCCTCTAAAAAACAAATTCACAAAAGGAGTGTGTCATCATCACTGCAAACAGACTACCTCAATTTGGGACTGCATTAGTCTCAGGTAGAGTTGATCATTTTATTCCCACCCCTGGGCAAACAGGAAATTTTAACATTCTCCCAAGGCACATGTGCAAGGACATTCCATCTTGTAGTTGGACTGTTGTAACAGGGCTGTGGAACTCCACACATTTTTACAGGTAATGGTGGCACAGCGACTAAGTGATATGATGTATGTTTAAAACAAACAGCATTCTTAATTTCTTCTTCCAAGGAATAAATACACCAACGGAAGTGCTTCCCCACATTCTCCCTTTCCTCCTGCATCCCCTACAATTATCTTCATCCTCCAAACATTCCAGATTTATCTGTCACATTATAACCATACTGGCGATGCCACTGATGAATTCATGGCTTGGAGAAACTGCTGAAAGAGGTAAGCTCTTGCTGTCTTCAGGGATTCTCACCCCCACTTGCGTTCATTGAACCACAGTAAGTTCTCACCCTTGGCTCTCCATTCTCTCTAACCCCTCTACTTTCTGTAAGGTTTCCTAAAGTTCAGAGCCCAGGGATTCCGATGTGTCTAACACCGAAACATCTGGAGGAAGCATAACAAAAGCTCATGAATAAATGACAATGTTTAAGTGGAATGATCAGTAGGCAAAACTTACGTATCTTCTTTTCCAAAGAGTCTGTGACTCCTGTTAGTACTATTCAAGTGAATGGAAGGAAAACATTTTAATTGCTGAGAAAGTGCCCCAGATTCTTCAAAGGTATGAGAAAGCTTTTCCAGAATCCAGTTTAAATGACGTTTTAGAGAATAATTTAAGGATTGCTTACAACATTTTTAAGGTAAGGATTCTTTTTGGTTTTGTTTTTTTTTTTCCTTGACATTGCCATTTTCTTGCAGTTGCCATTGCAGAAAAAGATTATTTTGTTTCTCCCCTTACTTTCTCGCTGGAAAAATCATGTTTGTCTACCTGAGTTTATACAAGAGTTTCTGGGGAAGAAGCATTCACCTGTGGAAGTATAAAAGTAAACAAAACCCAAACAAACCCAACAACAATTAAGAAGGGAAAAGATTATCTATTAACCCCATGTGTTTCTGTTTTGTTTAAATGCCTGACAGACTGCTGGAAACCACGTTTTTGTAAAAGACATCTTTCACGTTCAGCTAAGAGTTCTATATTCGTTTGTAGGTGTTTCCAGCACAAACAAACAAACAGAAAAAGGTAACAAAAAAACTTTTATCAAGCATTTGCAATGTTTGCATTTTATTTTTCTCAAAATGCATAATAATGATAATGATAACAGTACCACCACCACGTCCCTCTTTTTCCTTAGTACATGTGTTATGTGTTGGCCACCCAGGACATAGAAAACTACTGACTTCTGGTAATGCACTTTTCTCCAAGCTTTACCCTACTTTCCCACCTGTACCTGTTATAGGCACACACATCTGTTTGAGAAGATATCCCAATTTGTGTGAAAACAGTAGTGTTATGATGACTGATCTGAAAAGTCAGCATGTAGCTGCTCTGATCTCTACGATATAAATATGAAAACATATACTTGCTATGGAAAATGAACAGTGGCAGTAGAACACACAGCTATCAGCAGGAACCCG